TTCTGTTACACCAAATACACAAAATAATGATCTTTAAAATAGCATCATATGACCCCTTTAAAGACCTCAATGCTATCTTCGAGTGAATAAAATTAAACCAGTTAAAGGTGGGGTATGTATTTTTTCAAAAACGCATATATCTATGGTGTAGACAGCAACACTGATTATAATGAGTTCTATAGTATTTTGTGGCGCCGCGCCACTCGCGTCCGGTGTAGACATGGTATAATATTGGTTTTGCTGTGTTTCACAGAACTAATCGTTGCCTGGGTTGCGTATGTGTGGGGCAGAGCTATCAAAATAGGGGCGTGTTTGTTTTGGTGATTTCAAATGTCAACTTTGGCTACCAGAAATCACTTACCCCACCTTTAAAAATACTAGATCAAATAGAAATTGTAAAATTTTCAGCTAAATTTTGTGAACGGCAGCTTATCACTTTTTAGTGAGACATTTGTTAGAGTTTTCTAAAACCAAAATTTTCATTCTGAAACTGGGCTTCAATAGTTCAATGGTAGGTCTATATTAGAGTCAAAAGCATCATGCACAATGTAATTAACATTAACAAGTGTTTTTCTGTTTAATCAGAAAAAAACTCAACCCGCAATTTAAAAAAAGCTCTAAGTGGTTATGCCTAATGGTTAGTCGTGGCCTAAAGGTTAGAGAGTTGGACTTGTAACTCAAAGGTTTGAGTTTCAGTACCGGCAGGGATTGTAGGTGGGGGGAGTGAATAACCAGCGCTCTCTTCCACCTTCAATACCACGACTGAGGTGAGACCCTTGAGCAAGGCACCGAACCCCCAACTCCCCCCCCGGGTGCTGCAGCAATATGGCTGCCCACTGCTCCGTTCACTACTGTGTGTGTGTGCACTTGGATGGGTGAAATGCAGAGCACAAATTCCGAGTATGGGACACCACACCATACTTGGCCACACGTCTTTTCCTTTTCTTTCCTTCCTTCCTTCAATAGTTTTCTTTCTGTCTTTCTTTCTTTAAACCCTAAGTCAAATATCATGTCTAAGGAGTTCAGGTCAACTCTAATTTAGAACTAGTGGGAAAATTAATACAAGTTAAATAGTGCAACTGTTTAAAGGGGTCATATGATGTTGCTAAAAAGAACATTATTTTGTGTATTTGGTGTAATGAAATGTGTTTACGCGGTTTAAAGTAAAAAAAAACACATTATTTTCCACATACTGTACATTATTGTTTCTCCTCTATGCCCCGCCTTTCTGAAACGCGTCGATTTTTACAAAGCTCATCGGTCTGAAAAGCGAGGTGTGCTGTGATTGGCCAGCTATCCAATGCGTTGTGATTGGCCGA